GGTTCACATGGGAACTTTTCTGGGGCACAAAGGGTACTTAAGGGATAGTTGAAGGAGAATATTTTCCTGCATAAAAGTCAAGCTTTGTAGAAGAATGAAAATCACGTTATAGCTAACCCCTTACTACGATACCGACTTCAACCTGCTCCGTTGGCTCAAAGGACATGATTATAACTTGGATGTAATTGTACCAAAATTGACTAACCACCTCCTGATGAGGAAGGGAGTATGGGACCTCGATAATCTACCCGACAAACCAAGAAATCATGCAGTGCACAAACACTGGAAGGTGAATCGGGGTTTTGACGGTACTTAGTATAAATATTGAACTTTGCAAGTTTTTAGTCTGGTTTGACTGGCGAAGCCAAGAGAACGCCGAACTGTATTGTGAATATTGAACAAACTGGAGGGAATGACTACTGGGGGATGTCAAACGTTCATCCGATAAACGAGATTTTGAAGTAAGTTTATTCATTTTTATCAAAGCGCGATTGCGCAAATAGAAGAATAAATTGAAGCTACTCAAAAAGAAATTAGATGCTTCATATCTGTAATTTTTGCAAGAACCGCAAATCTACAGTAATAATGTTTTTGTGCTGAGCATCACTATTTTAATCCGCAGAGTTCTTTTACTGTTATCGAATGATATCTTTTACAAAATTACAGAGCACGAATGCATGATTTGGAAAGTATGCTGCGAGCTGTAATGAAATTGGAGGAAAGAACCGGTTTGTTTATTGCCCTATACATGTGCATGCATTTTTTTCATCCTTCAGTTGCTATCTCATACGCATTTCAGGAGAGCAATGCGCAGTGTTGTATATTATGGATTTGACGGGACTAAAAATGGATAGAAATGTGATGACGCTAATAACAGGTAAGAGAGGAGATTATACTTTGTGCTTTGCTGTAAGTGCTTTGCCACGATGAATGAAATGGAGTACAACGAGAGGAAGCGGCCAGAGAATTCACTTAGGCTTTCCCTGGCATATCGAATTTTTTCCCTTGAGGTGCGGGACTTGGATAAACCCTTCGCAGCAATAGATCATCATAAGAATTTTTCTAAGACCGCATCGACAAGCTAATGCCGCAACCCACTTGTGTGTTCAAGGTTACGGTTGCATACTGTAGCACTGTTGATTGATTAGCGAAGACGCCTTTGCTGAATGTCTTTCGCAATAATGACTTTTGCCCATGGGATTCCCCCAAAGCAAAGTATACCACGCTGCTGCATAAGTGTTTTTTGAGTATTTGAGGCAGTCGTTTTAGGTGATTTTGGACATAATGCGACGATATGTATCTGTACCATTA